TCCCTCTCACTCTCTCTCTTACTTGTGGAAAAAAATTAATAAAATCTTAAAAGATTGTGTAGGAAAGTGCATCAAAATAAGGCTCAGAAAAGATGAAAAAGGGACCAGCAGTTAGCGTAATGGCTATGTTGCTGGACTCCCACGTAGTTGACTGCGGTTCGAGTCCCAGACCCGGTGGCTTAAACTCACACTGGGCACGTGTGCGTGCGTGCCCAAGATCCTGAGAGGAGAATGGAGGAGAAGGGATTGCGACGTGGCCATCTCCCCTGGGGGATGATTTCTTGCTTTCTGTCTCTCTGTCTCTCTCTGTCTGTCTGGCGAGTGTACGTGCCCTATAGCAAAAATATCTCCAAAAAAAAATTAAAATAAAGAAAAGATGGAAAACATTGCTAATTGAATATAGCAGATAAAACATAAGTTTTTGCCTCGACTTCTTGCTAGAGCCCCATGAAAATTATCATTAACATGTTTTTTTAAGAGCTGGACTTATAGTCCTGTGTATAGAGGGCTAGATCTTCCATGGCCAACCACAGCTTGAATCTTTGCCCAGTGACTTGAAAAGCATGCCAGGCATATATGCTTGCATGACCAAAATCCTGACAAGATGGAGAAATGGAAAAGAGATTGCAGCATGACCATACCCATTAAGGGGTACTTTCTCCCTCTCCCTCTCCCTCTCTCTCTGGCAAGTAGTCTCTAGCAATTAAAAAATGTTTTTTTAAATATACATCCACAAGGAGAAAGAGAATTAAAGGGGGTACCGACAGTGAGTGAAAGACATCAGTGAAACATTCACATACTAGAAAGTCAATGGAGGAATAGGTAACTGCTTTACAACAAAGAAAGCTACAATTGAGTTAGTTGCAAGGGGGGGTGTCTACAGGAAGTGAGTCTGTTTGCACTAAAGAATCTGAGAGACTCAGAATTTAGAATCACCAGGAATCACAAAAGTCAAGGATGGGGCAAAGGATTGATTGAAACTGGTGAATTGGTTGAAAGTCTGCCAAGGAATTAGACTCCCAGGTCCCCACCACTCCCCTATATGACTGGATGATAGGAGGATTATTCTGTGAAAAATTGAAACAAAGAGAGTCCAGACTCAAATACTTACATGAAACAAAGGTAAGATATTGTATATGCAGTCAATTATTCATCAAAAATAAAGGTAGATAAAAGACAATTTTAAGTATACAGTCTCAGACCTTTTGTGTTCCATGCTCTTTACTCAGAAAACTACTTGAGAACATGCTTCATCAAAACGAGGACCTAGGGAACCAGCAGTTAGCGTAATGGCTATGTCACTGGACTCCCACATAGTCGACCGTGGTTGGCGTCCCGGACCCGGTGGCTTAAAACTCACGCCGGGCACATGTGCGTGCGTGCCCAAGATCCCGAGAGGAGAATGGAGGAGAAGGGATTGCAGCGTGACCATCCCCCCTGGGGGGTGATTTCTCGCTTTCTGTCTCTATGTCTCTCTCTGTCTGTATGGCGAGCGCACGCGCCCTATAGCAAAAACCTCTAAAAAAAAAAAAAAACAAGGGCCTAAACCAAGAGGAGGAAGACTTGGGATCCAGGAATAAAGGGATCCAATGAAGGAGGGAAGTGAGGAGGGCCAGCACGAGGGAGAGGTGAGCAAAATGCCTGGGGTACAACATTTAAGGAGACAATTACTCTCTATGTTGCACAAATACTGACCCAATACTTACACAGCCCAGAAGTGAGCATCTTCTTAGACTGCACCTAAGGTGCCACAAGGGACCTGGAGGTAATAGCTATTCGCAAGACTAGATTGTAACAGGAAGATGCTGGTCTCTAGCAGCAATGTACTCAAGTAATTAAAAAGGAGGGGGTGGCCCCACAGGATAGTAGTTAAGCACTGTGCAGAGGGAGTCAGATCCCACACAACTGACCATGGTTCAAATCCTAACCCCAGCAGCTTGAAAAACATGCTGGAAATGTGTGTACAAGCCCAGAATCCTAATAGGATGAAGAAATGGAGGAAAAAGGATTGCAGCATGACAAGATCAGAGAATGCTTTCTTGCTTTTTCTCTCTGCCTTTCTCTAGCGTGTGCACACACACCCCTCTGGTATAAAATAAATTTCAAAGGATGGGGAGACTTATAGATTCCTATGTGCTTGAACATACTGAGAGATTAACATGTCTTTGGAAGTTTGGGGATGAATTAGTGATAACTAACAGATGCCTAATAAAGTAGACCACAAAAGAAATTTAAAATGAGACAATTATTAACTCCAGGGAAAACAAGACATTGCACAAGAAAAAATATTTATATAATCTTAGCACACTAAATAGCTCAAGTATGAATAACATTTCCTAGTCATAGTCAGACATTTAGCTGAAACCTGTGCAATGACAATTTGAGGAGGCTGGAGGGAAAGAAAGTTCCAGTGACAGTGTATAGAGCCAAGTACTCATCCATATTAGGAAGTTAATAGACAATGTCTAAAATTGTTATGTCAGAAAATAGTAACACAAGAGGACTTCAAAGAGTTTGTGGAAAAATAAATTATAGTACGAGTTTATTTTGGTGTAAAAAATTTGAAATCTATGCATAGGTTTTTCATAATATGCATTTTTCATAAACATTTTAAAAAGTATTTTAAAATGTTCATTTCTTTATTTCAGGAGAAAGAGAGAGATACATACGTACAAGCACCTCCTACGGGGTCTTTATACTGCCATACACCCTCAGCATCTGCTAGCCAGGATCATAGGCATGTGTACATCTGGCACATACAGTTTTTCATAAACTTTCTGAAAACTCCTCATATTTATGAATTCTAAATAGTAAAATTTTAAAATATAGAAGTAAATACTAGAAAACAGAGCTAACAAAGTTAAAAATGACTGCCTCTGAAGAATAGAACTAAGGGTAGAGCAAGGGCCAGCAGTTTTGATATGCACAATATAAAACTATTGATATTTTTTCAAGAATTAAAGACAGGCATGGGTCCGATCCAGAGAACATTTCCTTGTTTCACTTAGGTTTTTCTCAAATCCAGGTAGTGAGTGTGGCCTCAGATGAAGCGCCCTGCCATGAATCCTGAATCTGTCACTTACTACGCGTCTGATCAAAGATATCACTGAAGCTCAGTTCTCATCTACAAAATGGGAATTAATACCAATATCTGCCTTAACTTCCACAGACTTATTGTGAGGGTCTTCTTGCAGGCCTGTAGGGTTCAAACAGATATGATTCTACTCCTAGAGTGCAAAGCTAGGGATCTGAAAGAGGCCATTCGGCACTTCCCAACATGTGAGCTAGTGAAGGAGGGGTTAGCCCTGGGACCCACATCTCTGATTTAGAGCTATGCTGCCTGCCCCAAAACCTCTCTGTACACATTAAAGTCAAAATCCAATGGAGAGTCCTCTGGGGCAGTTTACAAGATCGTTTAATTCATGCCCCTAACTCGAGCCAATACTGACCTGAACCATTGGACAGATAAGTTTTATTTTCCAGGCCCTGCTCCCACAGTGATTCTTTCCTTCAGCATCTATAACACAGTAGCCAGCATATAAGTAATTTTCACAAAACATTTGTGCTATTGGTGTTGGAAAAATGGGTAGATAAATGGCCTCCCTGTACCACCAGGCCAACTGTCTCTCATTGATGGTTTGCTTGAATCTCTGCAGTTGCAGTTGAGCTCTTTTCTTTGGCTAGCCTTAGTGAAGTTATTTCCCCTCTTCCCAGAACAGGCCATCAATATCCCACTGTAGACCCAGGAGAGCTCACTGTCCACACCTGCAGCAAGACATGTACACATACACATTCCTACATAGGCACACATCCATATGTGTTCACCCAAACACTCACAAATCCCATGAATGTCATGCTCAGGTGGGTCAGAGACCAAAGTGACCAACTCTCTTGGTTTGCCTGAGATAATCCCAGTTTAAAAACTGAACATTCTATGACCCTAAAATCCTTCAGTACCAGGCAAGCCAGGAGGGTTGTCACACAACCAAGGCTGAAGACTCACCGATAAGAAAGGCACTGAGGGCCCACTGGAAAAGAGCAAAAACCTCCATGGCAGTCTTGAGGTCCTTCTTGGAGGGCATGAGCATTATGCCCAGGATTCCAGTGGCTCTAGGTAAGTGCCGTTCAGCTACTCAACCCTGATTGTTCAGGGGTCTGTGATGTTTCTTCTCTTCTCATTTTCTTATCCGGCACCTGCCTAGTCTCGTCTGTGATGTTTCTTCTCTTCTCATTTTCTTCTCCAGCACCTGCCTATTCTGCACCCCCATCCCACCCCTCCATGGGATTGCAGGGCCACATACCGCCTCTGCTTGCCCAGTTCCTTCCAGCTACCTGCACTTTTACCCACTTGGGCATGGCCTAGGCTGAAATTGTGACATTCCCTTACACACATGGATAGAGAAATGTGGATGAAGCCCTGCTGTGGGAAGTGAGTGGGTGTGAGGGTGGGATTTATGAGAGCCTCTAGGGCCAGTCTGGACTGGGGAGACTGGCAGTGGGCATGGAGCTCAGGGCATAGAGAGGACACAAGGCCTGCCTTTCTGTTTCTGAGGCCCAGCTATCAATGGTCTCTCAGTGACAATGTGATTAGAGGACAGAAGAGAGGCAGTCACAGACTAGGCTTAGAAATACCTTCAGCCTTTTGGTCAGTCTGGGAAAACTTATTACTTACATTGAAAAGACACCATACATGCATACCTTAAGCATATAATAGATACTCAATACATTTTTAATTGAATGAATAAGTATTAGTACATAATATATTATTCTATGTACATGAAATTCTAGAACACGCAACACTATAGTGAAAATTATCAGAGCAGAGTAGTCTCTGTAGGGGATTGACTAGGAAGGGACATGATGGAACTCTGGGGAGGGGGGGAAGCAGACAGTGATGTTCTCTATCTTAATAGGTTGAGTTACACAGATTAAAAACTCATTTCTCAAGATTCAGTGAATGTACACTTAAGATTTACACATTACACTGTGAATTTTACCTTGAACGTAAACAAATACTGGGGCCAGCAGGTGGCATAGTGGTTAAGGGGCTGGACTCCCATTTGGCCAACTACAATTTGAGTCCCAGACCTGGCAGCTTGAAACTCATGCTGGGCACATGTGCATATGTGCCCAAAGCATATGTCCCCAAAACCCCAGGAGGAGAGTGGAGGAGAAGAGACTGCAGCATGACCATCCCCCCAGGAAGTGATTTCTCACTGTCTCTCTCCAGAGAGTACAAGTTCCCTGGGTCAAAAACCTTAAAAAAAAAAAAAAGTAAACAAAAACTGAACAGCTATTAATGCTAAAGTGTTTAAAGGTAAAAGTAGCAATGCCTGCAATTGACTCTGAAATGCATATAAAATATATTGATTGATGAATAATTGATACATACATCCCCCCAGGAAGTGATTTCTCACTGTCTCTCTCCAGAGAGTACAAGTTCCCTGGGTCAAAAACCTTAAAAAAAAAAAAAAGTAAACAAAAACTGAACAGCTATTAATGCTAAAGTGTTTAAAGGTAAAAGTAGCAATGCCTGCAATTGACTCTGAAATGCATATAAAATATATTGATTGATGAATAATTGATACATACAGCAAAATACTATCTCTACAGTCTGGGTGGTAGGTGTTCACTATTCTGTAGGTTTTATTTTATTTATTTATTTATTTATTTGGCCAGAGGGTGTGTGCACTCACTAGAGAAGACAAAAAGAGAGAAGGGGGGAAAGAAGCAAAAACACCCCCTCCACCACTGCTTTGATTTTTTTTTTTAATAATACAATTTAACAAAAAGTTCCCCCAACATCATAATAACATTTGTTTTATTTTATATTTTATTTTATTTTAAATTTTATTTTCATATTCAATCACTGTATATCGTTACAGGATGCAAAATGAATTTTCCTAGCATGGATACACTGTATATTAGTCCAGTCGATATTACTATACCCATTATTATCAACAGATAATTTTCCATTTTTGTGTGACTTAAATGATTTGTTTCTTTTTCCCTTTGATCCCCTCCCTCTCGCCATCTCACGTTTCCCATCCTTCTCCCACACTGTCTCTAGCATCCACAGTTGCTCTCCATGCTTTTATATCTTCCAATCTTTCAGTTTCTCCTTCACTGCTGGTGGAAATGTAAATTGGTCCAGCCACTGTGGAGAATAATATGGAAGTTCCTCAAAGACCTACAAATAGAACTACCATATAATCCAACAATCCCACTCCTGGATATTTACCCAAAGGACAGGAATACACAGCCAGAAAAGCACTTGCACATCTATGTTTATTGTGACATTATTCACAATTGCAAAGACATGGGACCAACCCAAATGTCCAAGAACAGATAAATGGATTGAAAAAGTGTGGCACATATACACTGGAATATACATATACATATGGCATAAAAAAATAAAAGAGACGCTCGCTGGCATTTGATAGAAAGTAAACGAATATGGAAGATTTACTGCTAAGTAAAGCAAGTCATACTATGAAATGAATAAAATAATTTTTGAGAGATTTTTTCTATAGCGCACATGCTCTTGCCAGAGAAACAGAGAGAGATAGAGAGATAGAAAGCGAGAAACCACCCCCTGATGGGGAATGGCCACACCACAATCCTTTCTCCGCCATTCTCCTCTTGGAATTTTGGGCACACATACACAAGTGCCCAATGTGAGGGTTGTTTTTGTTTTTGTTTTTGTTTTTGTTTTTGTTTTTTTGGAGAGATTTTCACTATAGGGTGCTTGCGCTCGCCAGACAGACAGAGAGAGACAGAGAGACAAAAAGCGAGAAATCACCCCCCAGGGGCGATGGTCACACTGCAATCCCTTCTCCTCCATTCTCCTCTAGGGATCTTGGGCACACACGCACACACGCCCGGCGTGAGTTTTAAGCCACTGGGTCCGGGAAGCGAACTGCGGTCGACTACGTGGGAATCCAGCGACATAGCCATTACGCTAACTGCTGGTTCCCCCCAATGTGAGTTTTAAACCACCAAGTCCGAGACTTGAACCACAGTTGACTACATTGGAGTTCAGCAACATAACCATTACACCATCTGCTGGTCCCACAAATATAATTTTTAAATGTGATTTCTCAGTTAAATATTTGAAGCTAATATATGATTTGGGACATGCATGCACATGCATCTGGCATGTTCCTCAGGCTTCTGGGTCCAGAACTTAAATCATGGACTCAGCTATGTAGGATCCAGTGCTTTAACCATCATGCCACCTGTGGTCTCTTAATTTTTTTTATTTTTAATTGATAAAGGATTGTATATACTTATGAAGTATGATGTGATGTTTCAATATATGTGTAAGTAGTGGAATAATCTGGCTAATTAGCATATCTGCTGATCCCTCAAAAATTGTTTTTCGAAGAAATTAAAAATTAGGAAATTAGTGGCATAATGGTTACATGAATGGACTCCCACATAGACTGCAGTTCAAGTCCCAGACCCAACAGCTTCAAAATCACACCAGGCAAATGTATGTGCATGCCCAAAATCCTGAGAGGAAAATGGAGGAGAAGGGATTGCAGCATGGCCATCCCCTTTGGGGGTTGATTTCTCACTTTCTGTCTCTTTGTTTCTCTCTGTCTCTCTGGTGAGCACATGCACCCCATAGCAAAAATCTCTCCAAAAAAATAAAGAAAAAACTAAATTAAAAATGTGATTTCTCCATCCATGTACTTGTGCACATGTGACCTTTGCATTTCAGTATATGTGTACAAAGATAAATAACTAGTTGCTTACACATGTTTACATATCCTTCTCAACAGGTGGCATCTCCAAGTATGTTTCTGACTGTGATGAAGTTGTATGAATGTGAAAGTATCTAAGTCCAGTTAGGAGTATGCTGCAAGGCAGTACACACAAAAAATAAGAGACTGGAAAGGTTTCTTTTTTTTTCTTTTTTTTTTTAAATTCATGATAGAGTGTGTGTGAGCATGAGATAGAGAGAAAAGTACTTTCCACAGAATTCTGTCACATCTCAATTTTCTTCCTCCAGTCCTCTAGCCCACCTGAACACTGAACATGGGCACAGGCTCCCAGCATGTTTTCAGGCTGACCCAGCCAGGAATTGAAACCATGGTCAGCATATGGCTTCCAGCTCCACAGTTAAGTACACACCAAAGAGCCTGGGACAGAAGAGTTTCTTAATGCAACATGTAATTATTGAGGACATAATTTATGCCAGGTACTATTCTAGGCAGCTGGGTTATATCAGGGAGAAAAACAAACAAACAAAAATTTGTGTTTTTGTGTAGTTTATATCCTGGTGTGGTAAGGCAGGTGGTAGAAATTTAATTACCTAAGTTGTATGTTATAAGGTGATAAATGCTATGGGAAAAAAGTTTGAGCAGAGTAAGAAGGATCCAGAGTGCTGGACGATGGTTAGAAAGGATTGGGATAGGACAGCAGGCCTTCAAATTAAGAGTGGTCAGGGAAGATCACACTGAGAAGGTGACATTTGAGGAAAGACTTGAAGGAAGTGAGGAAGTTGTTTGGCTGTCTGAACTGAAAATGTTCCAGGCAGAGGAAATAGTCAGTGCATAGCCCCTGAAGTAAGGTATAGTTGGCACATTTCAAGGAGCAACAAGAAGACTTGAGGTAAGGGACTGAGTAGATGAGGGTAGAGAGCTATATGAAGGGCCTTTCAGGCCAGTGTAAGGAATTGGCCTTGAATTCTGACTGAAAGGGAGAGCCATTGTAGGGTTTTGAGCAGAAAAGAGATAGGACTGACTTAAGTTTTCTCTTCTTTATTTATGATAGAGCATATGCATTTGTACATGTGAGAAATAGAGAGAAAAAGATAAGTATCCTCCACAGGGTCTGGTCACATCTCACTCCCCTTCTACCAGCCTATCAGATCACTTGTGCTTCATGTGTCTCAGGCTAGCCAGGCTAGGGACTTGAACTGCAATTGCCATGTAGGATACAGCTTCTCTTGAGCAGCAAACACATTACCGCTGTACCACAGAGCCAGCCCATGGATTCGCCTGTTTTTACAGAGGCAAAGAAGAAGGAGGAGACCTCTGAGGCCCTACAGCAACAATCCTCTGTGAGAGATGATGGACTC